ATGCCGCTTTGGTACATAGAGGGGGACAAGCGATGATGTAGTGAGTTTAGACCATTGATACACGGAACGCAGGACGACGACGTGTTCCGCGAACCAGGACGCGTGTCCTGAAACGCGGAACTTACTCGTTCCGGCTCGTGGTGGTTTGTGATCTGGTTCGTGTTTGATAGAGTACCTATTTATAGGCGAAAGAATCTTCTATTTTCTTGAGTTTTTTAGATTTAATTAAAGCTTCAAGTTTCATTAATGGAGGGAAATGAAGAAATAAGTGAGTAGAAGGAAGAAGAAGGTCATTCACGGTCGTAAATGAGTAAAATAACCTTAACCTAATTTTTAAAACAAAATGGTGGACCCCTCCCTTTTTATCTTTTCTTTTTATTATAACTCCTTGTTTTTACTTCATGTACAAGTGTTTATCTTTTGTTTTTATTATTATTATTTTATTTTTAGTGCCTAGTTTTTAGCTATGTACTGATACTTTTTTTTTTATTTGTTGGCTAATAGCTGATTACGGAATACTTTCTAATTTAAGTCTAATAAATTTAAAAGGCTAATAAAAAAAAGAAAATTCTAATTTTAAAAAATTTCTAAAACTAGAGTCGTATGTTCCGGGAACTCTTTAACCTATGTTCCCTGTTCCTGTTCTCGTCCCACGTACTGTGTAACATTGGTTTAGACGGAAAGGATTTGACCATGAGCGAGTGTTTTAAATATTTGAGGGTCAATTATCCAAAAAAATGGTGACACTAATCAAGACGTGGCCAACAGGATTAAGTCGGGGTGACTTAAATGGAGAGCAACCACGGGAGTGTTATGTGATCAAAGCATTCCTTTATAGTTTTAGGGGAAATTCTATAGGACTGCCATAAGACCAATTTCCTCTATGGTACCGAATGTCGGGATTCTAAGAAAGACTACATTAAAGAGATGGAGGTTACAGAAATACGTATGTTAAAATTGATGAGCGGGAACACTCTTAAATGATAGAATAAGAAATGAGTTATTCGTAAGAAAATGGGTGTCGGCATACAAGCTAAGGGAAAAGTGCTTGCATTGGTTCGGGCATATAAAATGATGTTAAACGAGGTAGAGGGAGATCGAAAATGACTTGGTTGGAATAAGTTCGGAAGAATATGAAGCATATAGATTTACGTGAGAATGAGGTATTTGATCGTAAGGGATGGATGAAGAAGATTTTTGTGAATGACTATACAGAATAATCACTTTTGGCTCATGAATCCGACCCCACATATGGGATTATGGCTTTGATTGATTGATGTAATAAGTCATCAAAGTTTAATATGCATAAGAAAGCTTTCCTCTTTTATAAATGTTAGCCCACGAGTTTATGTGTTGATACTAACATCTTTCTATGAGAATCAATACAATGTAAAATAGTTGTGCTCATGACATGGCGTGACACAATTCCATGTCACTTACCAAGTTGTGGTGACACAAAGAGATGATATGCATTATCTTGATTTTTTATACAAGTAAAGATCAACAATCTCAATCACATCTCAAAGGGACCAAAAGAACACAAATGCTTTTTTCAACACTAATCTAGAAGTCGTGAGAACTTTGAGAGTAATTTGCTTATTCAAGGAAATCTAAGTTTATATTTGTATTTAATTCACTTAAAGTTTGTGATGCAATTTGTTAGAAGCTCAAACAAAGTTAATCTAGAATTCATGAGAACTTTGAGAGTAATTTGCTTATTCAAGGAAATCTTAAAGCTTGTGATTGGCAATTTGTTAGAAGCTCAAACAAAGTAGTATTGTGCGCAATTTTAAGAAGATTTAAGAATGGATCTTGTTTAGTTTTCTAGTTTTTTTTTTAGATTTTGCTTACAAGGGGATTTTCTTTGTTCAAGCATTAGGGTTCTTTTATGTTCTTTAACCTTCTATAGAGTTAGTTCATTTCTATTAAGTTGGTCGTGTACTTTGATTAATAGTTGGTTGGTTAGTTTTTGCTTGGGGCTAAATTTAAGGATATTTGTTAGGATTTGATTTGGATTAGGAAACTAGATAAATCAAATTTAGTTTGTTCGAAACCCTTGTGGACTTGGCTGTAATACCCCGTATTTTTATACGTATTTAAATTTAAATAAGTATTTCATGAAGTATTTAAATAATACGAAATGAATTATTTAGGGTTTTCCTCAATACAAAAAGAATGATTTTAATTAAAAATATATTTTATTATTTAATAATCTTGAAAGTATTTGATTTCATAATTTAAAAATATTGGGGCATATTATTTTATAAAAGAAAATTTATTTTAAAAAGTCAAAAGTCTAATTTGAGTAGGAAAGGGATTATTAAGGGAGGTAAGTAGGAGGTTAAGAGAGAGGGTATAAATACCCATCATATGCCTAGGGTGGAGTGCACCCAAAGGTAAATTCTTTTTCCTCTTATTTTATTTTTTCTTAAATTTTCCCCTTTCCCTTTAATTAGTTAATTTAATTATTTATTGTTTAACCACCACACACCACCACCACACACGCCGGCCACCACCACCAACCTTCGCCGGCGGCAGCAGCCACCAGGCAGCGTGGCAGCGGCGGCCCAGGTGGTTGCGTGTTGCCTATTCTCCATTCTTAATTTTCTTAATCACGTTTAGATTCTAACTCGTCCGATTTTTACGAAAAAAATAGTGTTTTTCGTGTGTAAATGACATTCTAAACAAACCTCACTACCTATGGTAGTGAACACTACCCTCTTGTGTCCAAATTCAATATCTAAATATGGTTTTCGGACAGTTTTTGATTTTAACGAAGGATTTATATTGTTTTTCTAATTAAATCTACCTAAATATAATTTTGTTTTTGGGTTTTGTGATGATTCTTATGATGTTTAATAACAAGTATTTCATTTATAATTTTCAGATTTTAGTTTTGAATTAAAAAGCCCCAAAATTGAAAACCCTAGATTTTTAAATTAATGTTTATTAATGGAATTTGATTGTGGTTGATTGAAATTATTAAAATTAATGTTTTAAAACCAAATTACAACACTTTTATAAGTTTTAATAATGCTGGAAATTTTATATGTGAGCCTAATCTAAGCTTCTTGAAAAGATCTTTAATTACCCATTTAATTGGGAATAAAGTAAGGGTTTTAAATAAAAATTCAAATTATTTTAAAGGGTTTTGAGTGATTTAAAGAGAGTATATATTGTTGGAATTTTGTGTTAGAAAGGTATTAATACTCCTTTATAATTTTGGATTGTAGGTGAATTCCAAGTGAGTGACTTTGTGTAATCGTGGCTATTTTGAGATCGTATTCAAGGTACGTTCGCGTACTTGGTAAAGTTTAAGTGTATAGAAGCATGTTAGGCTTTGTTTAATTAATTCCAAGTAGCATCATGATAGGTATTGGATGGAATTTATGATTGGATTGATATCGGTGAATGTTTGGTGATGTATGAATTAATTATGGTGATTTGGTGATTGAAATTAATTATATTGGCATGTTGATATTGAACCATACTTTTATTATTGGCATGTTAGAGAGCATGTTTAATTAAACTAAATGTTTAATTTGGTTTGGAATATGGAAAAGGAATTTTATTATGGTTCATATAATTTTATTGATGCTATAAGCATGAGGAAGGAGCTATTTAAGTGTCTTTGAACACGAGGATTGAATTATATTTTGGTGCCTATGTGCACTTAAGGTGTTTCTTACACCGAGAGATAGGATTTGTGGCGCACTATGCGTTTAAGGTGTCTTTGACACTGAGGTAGTTTAAAAAGGGTTCAACATTAAATTTTATGTGGTCACTAATTATTCAAGAATTAATCGGAATGTTTGATTGCTTGAATAAATTGTAGTGTTTGGTTTGTGTTGTGCTGAGAGTCATCATCAAGTCTAATAATTCGTAAGTAACGTAAAGTGAAAGAGATTACGCACCAAAACTCTTGGAACGTATATACCTTGAATATGAACATATGGGGGGAGTTATGCGACTTTATATTTGACCATAACTTCTACTGGAGTACAGGACGCTATATTTTCCTTTTTTTATTATGCGCAGGAATTCCGCCACTTACGAGTGGTTATATTATACTCTCACGGTTAGCTCCCGTGTTAGTATCCCTTTATTGGGGCAGGTTAGGGGGAAACCCGTTCGATGGGTCATCAACTAAATAATTGGACTAGTTAAGTGTTGAATGTTTGTATGCTTGTAAACAGGTGCAACAAGGTAAGTTGTGTGTTGATAGGATAAAAGCATGTTAGTGTGTTCTAATTACGCTTATGTACTCAACTTTGCCGATTATGTGTGTTATATGTTTGTTTGGCCTTGTCTTTACCTTGGCCCTACGACGACCCATTTCTAATAGCGAGTAGTGGGGATAAGTAGAGAGAAGCTTTTCAGGTGATGAAGCATAATCATGATGGGGCATGAGAGAAGAGTGAATCATGCTTAGTTCTCATTAGAATATGATATGTCTATTGCTTTGAATTATTATTATTTATGTTGATTGTGAGACTAACGCAAAAGGATTTTTAAGTGTTTTGGTTTAAGGGCCTACAATGGTTCCAAGTTGTAGGTTGACTTCGTTTGACTTTGTTTGACTTTTACTTTCGTTTGGTTTGATTTCTGGAGTTGACTTGATTTTAATGAGTTTTAAAGATAGTCTTCTGCTATGTGTCTTTGATATTTGTCTTAGCCGTTCTCGCGGTGGCGATAATGTATTAGATTTTCCTTTTTTTTGTATTTTAAAAAGGGTAAAACAGGTATTTTAAAGGAAAGGAATTTCTAGGGTGTTACATTGGCATCCTAAGTTTGTTAGGATACTAACTATTTTAGGATAAGAATTGGGGACTTGGCCTAACCTGACGAGGAGAATTATGTTTATACATAGTGGAAGAAAACCACACGGTTATAGCATGTAATTTTCAAACCAAATTAATCAAAATTCTTTTGTTTGTTTTGCATTAAACAACAATCTTTTTTAAAGCTGGTGATTAAATTCTTTAAGCTCTGTTTAAATAGATTACTTAAGGGGTGGTGTGGTCTTTAATTGAATTAATTTACTTTCTTTCTCGTTTAATTCTTGGTTGATTGATCCTTTATAGAGTTTGACTTGAAATTATGCCTAAACATATGCATCATACACTTCATGAACCTTTTTCAAATAATTTTTTTTTTTGTAAATTATGTGAATTTACCTTTAAGGTGTATTGTGTTCGTAGTCACATTCTTCTATGTTTTTTTTCTTTTTTCTAATGGAGTGTTTGGTTTGGGTTATTTAGAAAAGGGTAAGAGAATTTCAATGGTCCCTTTCCTTAATTGTTTGTGAACAAAATTTAATTACTCTTTATCCTTTCTATTTTGATAAGTTAATAGGTTAGGTTATTAGAGAAAACTTTCCTAACTTCTGTGTTTCTCTCTGAATAAAAAATAAATTAAATCATTCGCTTTACCCTCCTCGTTAATCAATTATCTATCTTTATTCCCCTACTCCCTATAGGTTTTCTATTCTGTTTCCTCACGCAACCTACTCTATTACTAACACTACCACCCAAAACCCAATGACCACTGGCTGAGAGCCGAACCCACCACCACCAGCATCACTATATTAGCCGCACTACCTTGAAAATTCACTTAATCCACCTCGAAAACCGCCCAACCGTAAACAACCCTAAGCACCCTAAAATTAACCCTAACCATCACAACAAAACCAGATCTAAAGAGCATTTTTGTTTTTGAAAAGAGAGAGCATAAGAGGGAGGCACGGAATTGATTGCGAGCATAAGAGGGAGGGGCGTTGGTGGCGGTGACGGCAGCAAAAGGGAGATTGAAGGATAGGCTGGTGGTTGAAGGGAGTGGGAGGATTTCCTTTCTTATTCTAAAACAAACAACTATGTTAATGTTAATTTACGGGTTTTGGTTTCCATTCACCTTGTTTCCCTTTCTTAAACTCATTCCTGATTCCTTAGTGCTATTTTAGAGGGTTTTTCAACAATAGTTTGTGTTGCACAGGTAAGATGGTGGATTCAAACTTGGGAGTTATTTATGTTTCATGGGTATGAACTCATTGTCATGTTTTCAGTATTTCTTTAAGTCTCATGTTGTTGATTCTATGTTGTATAGTTATGATTTATGTTTGGCATTAGTTTTCTGGGGAAGCCTGAATTTGACATTGACTTTGATTTTTTGAAAGTATTCTGCCTTTTGGTCTCATGGTTTATGATGCTTCTGTTCCGGTTGATCCGGCTAAGACGAAACTTCTTTTTTCGGGACAGTATGCTAAAGCATGAATCGAATCGTTGTATGCTGTTTGCAGATATGTGAAATTTAGGACCTTGCTTTCTTCTTTCTCATTTTAGGCTTTCTCTCTAATCTCAATGCAGAATAATCTTCTTATAATTCTTGCATAACCACAATGATAATTTCTAGTCGAGTCTTATCTCTGACTAGCTGTGGCAAGGATCAACTGCAATTTTTTTTTTTTTCTTCAGTACTGGAGTCTTTGTGGGGCTGTGAACCTTTTATTTTGCCGCGCTCCTTGTGATTGACGATTATATCTCGTGTACTTGATATAGGTCCGGTCTCCTTGATCCATAATTAGCACAAGGCATCCTGTTGTCTAATACATTGATTATATATGGGAGAAATTGAAATTAATCACGTGAAACCAGAACCAGAACTCAATGGATTTTTAATCCAAAATGGAGATATCCATTCATCTTATTTGGGCCCACCAGGGTGGGATGATCTACCTGGAATTTGTGAATCTGAAGACAATGAGATAATAGATGCTTTAAGCACTGTCCAAAGTAGCTCCAGTGAAATAATTCAAACATCTGTTGAAGATACTACTTTATCAGTACCATCTATATGTCCAGCACCACTTTGTCGACAGTTCTGGAAAGCTGGAAACTATGAAGATGCGCCTGATTCAAGATCTAAAGCTCAAAGTTAGCTATCAATTGTTTTATATTAAATAATAGTGTTATTTTGATCACCTAAACTAATATTAATTAATTAACATATTGACTGAATCTCCCGTCACGGTCTCTGATATACCTGTCTTTTGCTTGCAGACAGCAAAAATTATTTGCATGTTCACCCCAAGTTTCTTCACTCAAATGCGACTTCTCATAAGTGGGCTTTTGGAGGTTTTCAGCTTATGGAATTGCTATATTTTATAAAGTTTTCATTGTATTTGTCTATAGGAGTGTCTTGTCTGTTGCTTTCTTTTTCTTAATCAGATATTTCGTTTGTTGGCTATTTGTGCAGCTATTGCGGAACTTCTTGATAATGCAATTGATGAGGTAATGTTTGCCAAATACTATGGATTGTTTCTCTATTGAACTGTTGATTGAGACTTTGAACAATGTCCTATTCTAACAAATTCTATTTCAAGGCATATTGATTTTGCCTTCATATAGATTGAACCTTCAAAGAATTATAAAATGAACTACTACGTACAACTTTATACTCTTTCGATTGTTAAGTAGTAACATATCTGGTTTTCGCCTTTGCGGCAGTTCTTGAAGTTGTTTATGTTCAGAATCCAAAGTATAAATGTTAGTTCACTATTCATAGTAGCAGAAAAAACATCAAATTCTTTAGTACCTTGCCTTCCCTGTACTTGATTAATAGTATATCACTACAGAGGATAGCAACACTTACAAAACTGGCTGTCTGTTAATTGTGTTAAGTTGTTTTGCATATTTTAATACTGTCCCGGAATTTACATTTGAAAATATGCTGAAAATTGAGAACTTTTTTGTGCCATTTGTCTATATGACATGCAACTCTCATACTCATGGTAGAAACATTTCATATAAAGGATTTTGCATTTCCACTTATATATATGCTTTTTTTTTTTCCTTTTTTTTTTTCTTTCTGTGTTTGTTCAATTAAATAGATACAAAATGGAGCCTCTTATGTAATTGTAGATAAAATTGCAAATCCAAGGGATGGAACTCCAGCCTTACTTACTCAAGGTATGTTGATCTTCATTTATAATCAAGAAGCTTCCCCCTTCTTCATGCTCTGTTAGGAATCCTCTTGTTTGTCGGTTATTTTGTGCTTCTCATGGGAGTTGCACTTTCTTTATTTTATATCCTTGATACTTTTTGGCAGATGATGGAGGTGGAATGGACCCTGAGGCAATGAGGCGCTGTATGAGTTTTGGATTTTCAGACAAGAAATCTAAATCAGCAATTGGACGATGTAAGTTTAAACCTACAATTCCAAGGTTTTTCATTTCTTTCTTTTTATTGATAGGATAGCTGACTCTTCACCTTTCAGATGGGAATGGATTTAAGACCAGCACCATGAGACTTGGAGCCGACGTTATAGTCTTCAGTCGACATTTCAACAATCGGTAGGGTTACCAATGAAATGTAGTCACTTATTTATGACTTGTGTATTTCTCTCAAAATATTTGATGAATTGGTATCTCAGTCCTTGCCTGGTTCATTAGCTTGTGATTAGACATGTCAAACAATTCAGTTTTTTCCATATGAATGCAAATATTTTCGTTGTTTTAACAAAAAACTTTCTACTTCCTCCGTTAATTTTTAGCTGCAACAAAGGAATTTTTATGTCTCACAAATAATACCCCTTTGTTGCAACTAAAAATTAACGGAGGGAGTAGTTGATTTCCTGCTTTGGGGAATTTGTGTGCCATCATTTAACAAAATATTGGGATTGTTGAACTTGTACGAGGATAAAACCCATGGTGGGCTGATAGAGGGGACTACGTCTGTACACAGGGTGGTGAAGGGGGCTACCCGGGGAAGAGAGGGGGGGGGGGGTGTTGGTGGTGGTTGTACACAATTTTGGAAGTCAGTTTTTAAATGTTGGTAATTAATTGTTTCTCTGTTTGTTTCTCTTTGGGGTTTCTAAACTTCTGATAACCTATTTATTTTTCCTACTTTCCTGCAATCGGTTATCTTGCTATGCTCTTTCTCCTGTACAGACAGTTCCTTATGACGATTCATGTCGTTAGCAGACCTCAAATCATTTTGGGACTAAGACTTTGTTGGTGGGGGTGGGGAGAATGTGGACTTCTGATAACATGCAAAAGTTATTTTTTTTTTTTTTTTGAATAAGCAAAAGTTAAAATTTTTTTATCTCTTCTTCAAACTAGTAAAATCGTACTTCCTCCATTCTTTTTTAATAACAATGTTTGGAATTTTACGCTATTCACACACACTTCTTTGATCGTCTTTTGTGATTAATAGTTGAAAAAACATAGTCATATGGGATTTCGTTGGATTTGTCTTGAAATAAATTTAAAATATCAACTTTTTATAATTTTTACCCAAGTATAATTAAAGATATTAGTGTTAAGAATTATGCATTGGCAAGTGCGAGATCTCTAACAATTGTGATTAAAAAATATCGGAGGAAGTATGTTTTTTATATAATTTGTTTATTCAATAATTGAATATTTGAAGTACAACAAGCTTATAGGGGCACATGTGTAAAGATCGTGAGTCTAGCAAAAAAAAACTTTCAGATGGTGGGCTTATAGGTTACTGCTATTGTTATTTGTAGGAATTCTCACCTCAGGTGTCCCAATCCTCTTTTGGGGCTTATGCTTATTCTTTGTGTTTTTTTTTTCTCATGACCAGGACATTGACTCAAAGCATTGGTCTCTTGTCCTACACGTATTTGTCACGAACGGGCCTAGACAGGATAGTTGTACCTATGGTAAGTAATGAAATTATGTCGTTGGCTGTCAATCATCTTACAAGTTTCTATTCATACATCATTTTAAATTTTTGTCAAAATACTATATAGTGCTGTGGGTTGCATCAATATCACAAGCCATTTCTATGTCAACTGTTTCTGTTTTAAGTTAAATTTTCTGCGCTTTTATTTAGTAGCAACTGTACAAGATAAATTATGGATGGTGTTTTGTTCAGTATTTGCGCAAGGTTAGGTTATCATCTTAGCTGGGCATTCTGATAATCTGATCCTTTTTCATGAAATAAATTTTCTTTGACTGTGAGTTATGGGTACTAAATAATTGAACTGTTTGCTTTGATAGGTTGATTATGAGTACAACATGTCAACTGACACCTTCAACCCTCTGTATCGCCATGGTGAAGAGTATTTTAAGTCGAATTTATCCATCATTTTACAGTGGTCGCCATATCAAACTGATGCCAAGCTTATGAAGCAGGTTAGTTTATAGTCTTATACAGTCTTAGATGACTATTTATAAGTCTTGTCAAATCAAGGGTTAGACAACTCAATACACTATTGGTGATGTTATTAATCTACATAGTCCTTGAGTTTGAGAATAGTGACTTAGATTCCAGAATCAATACACTCTACTTTTAGCAGTCATCACTGTAGCTGAGACCACTGCGTGGTAAAGGCTTGATAGGTGTATCTCACAAATGTGTGCAATAGATCGCAACTGAAACTGGGCATTGCAGTCGTCTGTTTTTTAATTTTTAATCAAGTTATTTCCTTTTTTACTTAATTGCTTCTTGATAGCTTTCTTTAGTAGACGTGCCAGTGAACTTATTCATTGATTTAACTGTGGATAATATTGGTCTTCTGGAGCTAAATTGATCATGTTTTTTTGCTTATGTATTTTGTGTCAAGACCTTGTAGTAAATTGTGCTGTATATCTATATTAAGGGTTCAGTTATTGATAGGATTCTTCTTGTGCGGCCATATCTATCATTGCTTTCATAGCATGTCCTCAGTCCTGTGTAGTTCTCAGGAAAAAAAGTAATACTACCTTCATTAAGTATTAGTTGCAAATTTGGGGTATTATTTGTGAGATATAAAATATTCCAAAGTTGCAACTAATACTTAACGGAGGTAGTATTTATAACTGTCTTTTCCGAGCTCAATGAGCTCTCCATGTTATTATCTGCTAATATCATTGATTCTTTTTCTTCCTATACTGGTTTTCCATTTTTGTTGCGAGAGCCACTGATATTAGCTATCAGCCTCTTGATGCTTTTTCTCTGGATGACTTTACTGGCTTTATTAAAATTGGAATAAAATGTGGGCCATCTGTCCTTTTTATTTTATTGATTATAGACCATGACCTCTTTTGGTTAAAATAAGGACTTTCCTGACCAGCAATCCTCTACAAATTAAAAGACATACAACTGTAATTTTGAAAAGCATATAGTTCACCATCAGTATTTATCCAATTGCATGTAAAGTTTAATCTGCTTGAGTAATAAATTTCTATCTGAGAGTCAATAAAGCGTTTTAGTGCAATCTTACAAAAGCTAATCACCTGGTGTGATTTGTCTTTGATGAGGGGGTTTAAGAAGGTTAAGATGGGGGCAATGAGGCAATCTTAAACTTAGAGGGACTAGAGAGGCTGTTCATGAAAAGAAAAAAGAATGTCACCATGTTTTTGCAATGAAGCAAGTATGACGTATTGAACGCCTTAATCCCTTAAGTGGGGTCGGCTACATGAACCAACCCCTTAAGTGGGGTTGGCTACATGAACCAACATGAGCACTTCCCAGGAGGTCACCCATCCTAGTACTACTCTCAATCATTGTGGCTCATGTCAAGCGATGTGACAAAGTGTTACACTGGCTGCCATTGGCCTACCGTACAAAAATATTGAAGTGACACATTAAATTGAGGCTCATGTCTGTAGTGAGAACAAGTTGAGCCTAGTCATGTTGGATCTACCATCTCTTTGGTTTCCTTGTCCTGTCTTTAAATTACTAACAGTTTTGATTCTCTGGTCTCCTTGATGGACATTGTTCTTGGACCATCTTATCCTGCCTTGCATATTGGATTCGCTTCCTCTGTATTCTCCTTTTTAAAAATTAATTTTTTGGGTTGATAAGGACCCACAATGGACAATTTTAATTGATTAAGTTAAGTCCAACCTGAGCTGGTTGAATCTCACCATCATGACTTACTTAAACGGTTCACAATCTGCAAGCTCATATATAGTTGGTTAATTATTGAATATGGATAAATTATATGCATGTGTATGTGTGGCTTTCCACTGTTTCTCGAATACACTTTTTTGTACAAAGTTCTGACAAGTTACATTTTTGCTTTATTTTTGATGGCAGTTCGATGATATTGGGCCTCATGGAACTAAAGTTATCATCTTTAACTTGTGGTTTACTGATGATGGGACATTGGAGTTCGATTTTGAAAGCAATCCTGAGGTTGACTCCACATACTTTAACGTGTGTGATCCCATATAGAATTAATTTCAACTGTATCATCTAATCAATTCTTTACTATATGGTCACAGGATATCCGCTTGAGAAATTCTGAGAATACTAAGAAAATTAATTCAAAAATGTTAATAAGTGAAGAGCACATTGGGAATCAATATCGCTTCTCCCTTCGCGTAAGTCTTGGTTTTGACATAGTTTCATTATTTTCTAACCATATTTAGGTATCAGACTAACAAACCTTGGTATTACCTGCAGGTATACTTGTCCATTTTATACTTGCGGATTCCTCAAAACTTCTGTATCATTTTGCGTGGGAAAGTTGTGGAACATCACAGTATAGCACATGGTCTCAAATATCCAGAATTCATCATGTACAGACCTTCAACTGGGGGCACTAAAGAGGTTACTTATCATGCTTTCATATTTCCATTATTCTTTATTATCATGTTCATTTGGTAGTTTTTGGATGGCATGGATTGCCCACCTATTTTTTTTATAAAAAATTTCCTTGCAAATGATTTTATCGAAGAGAATGAAATGTACTTGAAGTGGAAGTCATCTCTACTCCTCATAGATGCAATAATCATATTGACCATATTTTGCCATAGTGTCTTCTAGTTCTGCTGAAATCTGAAATGCTTTCATGGAACTTCTATTCCCATCCTTAAACAAACCTTATTAGTTGGTTACTAACGATAGTCTGTAAATTTATTAGAAACTAACACCTTTGAAAATGTCAGGAGATTCGACTATTGTGGAACAATTCCCATTAATTTCTGAACGTCATGTGCTGTTATGCTATAAAAGACCTAACCTATCTGTTAATTAACTCCTCATGAATTTGGTAATATTCATCACAATTTAAAATGTCCTTTTCAATTATTTAACAAAGTAAAGGATGATGAGTAGCAAAAAAAAGAAAAAAACATTAACGTTTCAACTATTTAATTGAGTGTTAGCTAACTAAAATATAATGTTGGCCATTCAGCCTACTCTAATGTAAAAGATATGAATTGATACTCTTTGATAACGCGGTAAGGCCTGTAACAGTGGTAACACTTGATTCTATAATCTGCCACATGATTTGTTGTATAATTGTATGCGATGATGACAATTGAATATTGTGTCTTTAGTCCATGCTTATGCTTCATAACTGATGACATAGTAAATTGTATGAAGATTTTTTATGAACATTCTGTGTTGCTTCTTTTACCCTTTGTCCCATATTTAAGTTTGCATAAGGAAATGACATGTGGATTAAGCCTATTAAGGAAAGGCCGTGCTCAACTTCTTGTAAAGTGGAGTGACAAAACTTACTAACAATAGTAAGTAAAATATGGAACACCTCGATATGGGCGGAGGGAGTATATGTTTTGTTTACAAATCCTATCTGATACCTTGTCATTCACTCTATCAGACTTGGAGGACTTGGAGCTCAATAGTAGAGCTTCTACCTCCCAACTAGAGCTGTCAAAAACTGACCTGGCCTGGTAAGTGGTAACCCACCCAAAACTGGCCATGACCTGATGCGATTAAACCCTAGAATATGGTCACCCTAAAAAGTTAGCAAGTAGTATCAGTATCCTATTTTTCTTATTTGATATGTGCTTTAATATTGCTTCTTTTATGATTAAAATTTTCTGCTTGACTCTTTCAGGAAGTATTGACAACAATAGGCTTTCTGAAGGAAGCTCCTGATGTAAATATCCATGGCTTCAATGTGTACCATAAGAACCGTCTTATACTGGTAAACTGCATAAATCTTTTCTTAGGATACCAAGCTTTGTATGTGAACAATTGTGCACGTGAGCTCGTGCATGCACATGCATATAAGTGTGTCAAACCTTTCTATCTTTATGAAAAACGAAGTGTCAAGTGATCATGCTAGTAACTTGTGTTGGAGTATTTTATAACTGAGTGTACTTGTGATTCTTAGAATCTTAGTAATGAGCAGCGACACAACAATATTTGCATTTTAACAATAATGTACTTTTAGCTCATTTCAAATTTTTATACTGTGATAGAGGAAAAAGAAGATTGGTAAAAATGTAGTTGTTGTGGTCTTTTGGAAGACCATGGGTCCATCTGTTTATGGGTAAACTTTTTGAAAATTTTTGTGTGCCATGAGTGAGATTAATGCTTCTATCACTTTGACAAAATAATTAGTGTGTCACATAAATATATACTTGTATATTTTCCATCCCTGTCAAGAATTTTATTCTGGATGTATAAGCTAATTAAATACTTCTTATTCGGGTTGAGCTTTACTAAAAGCAAAGTATGTTTTTGTTGTTTTAGATTATAATGCAAGTCTTGTCATGTTGATTATCCCTTATCTTGCTTTTTTTTTTTTTTTTTTTTTTTTTTTTTTTGCAGCCATTTTGGCATGTTGTTAGCTATTTAGACAGTAGAGGACGAGGGGTTGTAGGTAATTTCTCTTCATCATATATAAGTACTTCTCTGAAAATTTGTGCGTTTGGATTATGTGCATACTTCATTCTATCATTATCGAATTGTTTGTCAGGGGTATTGGAAGCAAACTTTGTCGAGCCCACTCATAATAAACAGGATTTTGAAAGGACTTCGCTCTTCCAAAAGCTTGAAACTCGGTTGAAGGAAATGACTTGGGAGTATTGGTAGGTTTGCGATGGTTTCTGTTTAGTGTAGAACAAATGGCAAAAGTCTGATTCTATTTTGTACTTTCCTTTCATCTATTTACTATCTCGTAATTAGAAGTCCATGATGTTTTTTTTTTTTTTTTTTTTTTTTTTTTTGACAAACATGATGTTGTTAGATTACATGCTTTTCATTTCTTATTCTTAATTGATCATTTTTATGTTTAGCTTTGTTTTTATCGATTTTTTCCATCCTTAGCTGATTGAGAGAAAACATGCCTTGGTTATGTGACACACTGAAACTGTAAAATAGACATGAACTCCAATTTTCACCATAAACGAGTTCAATAAACTACTTACTAATCAGTGCACATCCTTGAATATATTGTAGGGATCATCACTGTGGACTTATTGGGTATCAGGTTAAAAAGAAGGCCCCAGCACCTGTACCCTCAGCTAACTCACTCTATGTTAGTCCCAATGATGCAAGACTTCAGCCTATTAGCGTGGATAAAAGCTCAAAAGTGAGTGGATCACCTGTTGGTCAGGCTCATCCTGTGTTCAGTTTACCTGCTGGAGATTTGTTAGCCGCTCGAAGCGGCATCCAGCAGTGTGGTAAGTTTTTCATTTTTTTCAATGGTTGCAGATATTTTTGTCGGGAGTTATGCTGATGCCTACTGCGATCTTATTTGCAGGAACTAAGAGGACACAAGATGATCTTTTGTCTTCTCTTGGAAGGGGGAGACGGCAAAGCAGGGTGGAACCTGCTCATAGTGCTGGGCGTTTTATGGAAATTCAGGTTGGAGTTTATGTATTTTGATTTAATGTGGATGTTTGATTTCTAACGTACGTACTGTGAATGATATTTTGGCATTTGCAAAACTTGGTGATTTGTAGTTAGCTTTGCGACTAATTCTGTCTTTTTTATAATAAACATTGAGTGATTCTGGTGGATTAGGGAGAGGACTTTGTGTGTCCACTCATCCATTTTTTATATTCTGATACTAATGTGAAAAATTAAATATAACCATGTAATGCAATTGAACATTGAAGTTAGAAATCAAAGAGTGTAAATGTAGTTGATAATCCATGCTTCAAAGGAGTTAGAAAAAGAATGGAGATAAATATGGTTGGAAAATTCAATTTGAAGAAGAGACATTGATATACGTTGCAAGAGAAGTCAAAAGGATGATGTGTAAGTAATATCATACAGTAGACACAGGAGTTGATTCTAGATCCAGTATATGTCAATATGACTTTACCCTATACGGGTTATACTATCCCTTGGCTCTGCCAATGTGTAATAACCCTATACGGGTTATGATATCTTAATTTAGTTGTACCTAATTTCTGTGAACAGTGTTTTGGTAAATGTAATATGGTTACTCTTCTTTGGCAGCCTGTCATTCATGCTGCAGCACCGTTGGGTCAACAGGAGGCTAAGGTGTTGAGGCAGGAGCACAGGAAACTTCGAGAGAGGTAATTTACCTATGGAATTCTAAAGCATCACACAAGTATAATAGTGTAGCTAGCTAGTAACTTGCAGGTGGTCCTGTTCCAATAGGGTTGGTCTTACCAAATAAACTAAATAAAAGAAGACATTCATTTCTCATTGACAGATTTGAAAAATCGACAGCTGTAGTTTTGTAATATTATCAAAGCTGGCTAAGCTGATACTCGACTTTATCTTAATTTTGTTATTATTGCTTATTTTATTCTTATGGTCTTTATGTATGTTTCAGATGCTTAGAATATGAGAAGTCTGAGGAAGAACTCAAGTGCAAGGTACATTAAGTACCTCAATTTTTCCTATATACCATGTACTTTTCTTTTGGGTTTTTCTTTTTTAATTAGCTGAGGAGCTCACAAATTTCAATATATCTCATGCAATTGGCAACCAACTATGTAGCATTCTTAAATGCTGAGATCAATCACCAGTTTATTATGTATTAGATACACTCTAGGATTTCATGAACTGTGTAGTACTTGCTTACACTGCTTTAAATGACCCGTGCAGGCATCACGGCTTAGAATGGAGCTCGAAGAGGCACAGCAAGAGTATCAGAGAATGTTAACTGAGCTTCGGTCACTTGAGGTTTTCAAGCCTGAAAACAATGTAAGCAAATGCTGTCAGATCATCTTGTTGTAGATGTAGTTACTATATCTGTAGTCCTTGAACATGAAATTCAACAGCTGGCCAACAATTTAATTGGTATTGGCTATCAAGGTGGCATTTGTGGAAGTGGATAGGCACTTATTGTTGCAAATATGTTATTCTTCCCTTGCAAGTCAGTGTAATAACTAGTTTCTGCTTTTGCTAATGTCAAACAAGAAAAAGAAGAGATGTAGTTACTACAGTATCTTGTAAGATCTAGAAATACTGCAGACCATTTTTAACTGCAAAAGGAAAATAGATTAGAATTTTATTTTTTCAGAACAAAATAGAATCAATGTTTTTGGTTATTTTGCTTATCATTAAAAAGAATTTAGTATCAGAGGTATGTTAACTGAGGTTCAAGGAGGCAATCACGGCTTTTTACTGTGCACACTAGTAATCTGCTGACCCAATTGTCTTTGTTAATTTATGGATTGTTAAAGCAGTCAAAGTTTCTTATTTTATGTCAATTTTCCATTGCCTTTCATTTAATTCTTGCATGTTAGAAAACTTTTGTGAACTGTTTGACGCTCATATTCATGGCTGAAAAAGCAGGTACCTGTCTGATGCAATCGATGACAGACTATTCTGTGGCTGGTTGGCAATTTTATTCTACAATGAAACCAAGATAAAGGAAATAATACGGTTAATTGGGGAGAGTTAAGTCTCCCTGTGAAATGTTTCATCAGAGTTGCTGTTGGAGATGTCGAGCAGGCAGGCACTGCCCTGCACTGGTATTAGCTGCTAAATGAGTATCATGGCCAGTGAGGCTAGTTAGCTTAGGGATGATGCAGGAGATAGCAAGCTTGCAGAGTTGAGGCCTTTGATTCTCATTGTATTGTTTTTGCAAGTGAAATTTAGGAAAGTGTAGGAGTGTAGCATTGTACATTACAATGTATCATTATGTATCATTAGTGTATCATTAATTCATTATGTTAATAAAAATTTACCATTTTTGCAAGGATTTCCTCTTGCATAATATCATTAGTCAAATTGTTAAAGTCATGTATAGCTGAAAAGTCTGCTGAAATGTCCATTTACTCAATTAGTAATTTAGTATAAGGCAGTCCAAGAGTATTCCAAGTACCTATTATAACAAATAAAGGGAAATAACATATGTGTAAAACAAAATAACATATTTGGTGAGAATGTGAGATTATGTAATAAAATTGAACCAAAAAAAAAAAATAAATCAGAATTTCAAATTCATTCTTCTCTTCACTTTTTCTCCAACCTAAATTTAGAAATTGCGGTTTAATAGTACCAAGTTGTCTAATGGTACTGCGAAATGATAGAGGTACTATTACTAATAGTAATTAAACAACCACCAATATTAATTGTTAACCATTAATATTGTAATAAAGTTGGTGTAATGAACCATATGATATAATCAAACACGACCAAATTAGCAAGACAAGCCACTTTGGTATATATTCTTCATGTCCTACTCCTGCTATTCATTAATAAAACCCATTTACTCCACAAGATCAAACTTCTCCATTTTTTCGATTTCATGAAAACAGGAAAACCAAATTATCTTGGGAATCACGTGACCCTCTTTCCATATATAGACATGTATCTCGTGACAAAGGAGAAGGGTAATTGGGTAATTTACTGTTACTCCTCCATTGTCTCTCTACTTTTCGTCCATCCAACATGCAAATTCAGGTTGTGCAACTCACTGTAGTTAGATTCATTGTTGATAATTAAGTTGTCGATGATATTGGTTTGTTGATGGTTTGGTTGCATTGTTGATGATTAAGTTGTTGATGGTTTGGCTGTTAATTTTACCATCTTTTGGGATTTGGTTTTTTGATTGGTTTGCTAATTTTGTGATCAATTTGTTGGGTTTTTAATGTGCAGGTTTTTGGACATAGGCTCACATTTGTTTGCAGGTGAAACTCTGAAAATCTTAAATCTAAATTGTATAAGATTACAATCTATAGTTTGCATGGTTGTTGCTTTTTGTTTGTGATCATTGCAATTATCAACTGTTTTTATTTTTTATTTTATTGGTGTCAAAATTGGTTTGTTGTATAGTATTTCCTCAGACCCTCTAAGATTGCCTGTGTTTCTTTTTTAGTTTGTCCCTTTAAGTTTGACCCATAATATAAATAGTCATAGGATGTCCATTAATTTAAAAAGTAACATTTCATACGGGGTAATCTTTAAGGAACAAATAGAGTAAACTATTAGTATTATAGCTACTCTAATAAAAAAATAGTTGCATCATGTTGCCCCGACTTGTGATGATTTAGCATTTGAAATAATTTTATGGATATATGTAAATCCTTTGTAATAGTAGTGTCCCTTAATTTATCATTCATCCTGAGTGAATATGTTATGGAAACTGAACCAAGATGTGATACTATCTATGAAAACATGAGACCTTTGTATTGTGGAGTACATCGTAGAATATTATTATAGTTGATTTATTGTCATGCATCTTCTTTGTTAGTAATATTGAGTTCCTATACATTGATGTTGAGTTCCCATACATAAAATACATTGGAGGGAGGTGGGTTTGGCCTTGGGTATTAGAGAGAAGAGACAGGAAAAAGAGTCGAGGGTTTGAGTTTCATACTATAAACCAAACATGTAGGTATTACCGTATTAGAGATATGATTTAAACATTTTAGTTATCACCATTCTAAATTTCTAACTCTCATACTATATCCATGAACTTATATTTAGAAAGTTCCTTAGTTATATATTTGTCTAAAGTGGGTTGATGAACTACTCATATTTAGAAAGTTCCTTATTTATCAACATTATCAAGAATATGATGAAAATGAAAGAATTTAGTGATATTATAATCAAGACTATTTCCCTTCATCTTGCTTCACCAGTGCTCTTTCAACTCTTTTTATAACTAAACCTTGTTCATTTTCTTTCTCTTCATCTTCACGCTGGCTGTGAATGCCCTTGTATTGGCGTGGATGATCTGCACAGTCCAAATCCCACCCTTTTTATACGTTTGTTCTGACAAAATGAATTCACTCAAAGGCACGAGTTGATGTTGAAAATGGGACCAATACATTTAGAATTGGAACTGCGAATTATTACTTTATAGATTGATATTGTTTAGTGCCTTTAGATTTCACCGCATGAACCATGAGAGGCAGAAAGGTCTTTGTAATAAGTTGTGGAGCGGGCAATTCTAACTTTCTAATAAAGTTGATGGAGCCAAAGTTGAATTTTGAGATACTATGGGGGAGGAGGGGGGACTGTTGTATGGTAGTTGCTTTCTAATTATTATTGTCTGTAAATCTTCTTTTTTTTTTAGATACTGATTAAACATTGCTAATTTTGTAGCCCTGTGTTTTTGATGTTCAGTGAGCTTTAGGTTGTCCATTGACATATACACTGGTGAAAAGAATGGGAGAAGGTGGTATGATTTATGTGAAGTCCGAATCAGAAGGCAATAGACCTTTAATTCAACATGAAGAATCTCACATGCCTTATCTGGTCCGTCCAGGGTTGGATGCCCAACCTCTAGTTGATAATACCAGTTTCTCTGCACCACCTTTATGTCCAGCACCCCTCTGCCGACAATTCTGGAAAGCTGGAAACTATGACGACGAGTTTGTTTCCAAGTCTCGGGACCAAAGTTAGTCATCAATATTTATTAGCTTATACTGTTAGATTTAAATTGTGTTTATTAGTAATGTCACTCATTGGTGAAGCTATTGGCGATATACCAAAATCTCCACTCAATGGGGTTTGATGTCTTATGTATGAAGGTCTCTAACATGTCCATACTGTATTTTGCAGATAGAAATAACTATTTGCATGTTCATCCCAAGTTCCTTCATTCAAATGCCACTTCTCATAAGTGGGCTTTTGGAGGTATCTTCAGCTTGTGGACTAGCAGTTTGTACTATATTGTGGGTTTTTTTGGCTGTTGGAGTGTCTTACCATCTATTTACTATCTCAGTATATCTTATTCATTAGCTGACTGTTTATGCAGCTATTGCCGAACTTCTCGACAATGCAATTGATGAGGTAATCTTTTCAGATGCTTAAACTGTATCCTTTGTCCTGGTTGAAAAGTTGATTTGTCCTTTATGCACACCTTTTTAAGGCTGAAGAAAGCTCAATAGTACATTCTGTATAGTTAAATTATCTTCTAAGCTATTCTCTGTCTGTGAATTGCTGTTTGGAAAATATCATGTTTTTACTCAAGTATTTTCATTTTGTGTTTGCTCATTTTAAAGATACAAAATGGAGCTTCTCAGGTCATTATTGATAAAATTTCAAATCCAAGAGATGGGAGTCCATCTTTGTTCTTTCAAGGTATATTGATTCAATTAGTATTGCAGATACTTTTCTTTTTCGGATCATTTTAATCATTCTCAAGGAGAACTATGTGTTGCTAAGTTTGATATCATTTGGCAGATAATGGAGGTGGAATGAGTCCAGAGGCAATTCGGCGCTGTATGAGTTTTGGATTTTCAGACAAGAAATCTAAATCTGCAATTGGAAGATGTATGTTCAATTCAATAATTTGTAGAATCTCACTCTTTTCTCTTTAATGGTTTATTTAACTCATAGCTTTTTAGATGGAAATGGATTCAAGACTAGCACAATGAGACTTGGAGCTGATGTAATTGTCTTCAGTCGCCATGTAAACAACAGGTGTGTTTGCCTTCGAGTTGTAGTCAATTATGTCTAAAATTGGTTTGGTTGTATCTTCACAATTCATATTATATGCTAGGATATCTCAAAGTAATGACATGTGTCATTGTATTGTCTCATAATATTTCAGTGGTGTGCCAAAACCATGCAGATAATTGGTTTTCTGTTTGGCCTCACTTGAAACTTCCAATAACATAACTGTGGTGTGAATTATATGTTTTTGCTCAATAACTTGGCCTTAGGGTTTTCATCTTTTGCAGTCTGATTATTAAGAACATGATCAAAGTTGAGAAAATGTTTGCATGGTCCTGCACCATTGCACCCTCCCTTGACAGTATTTACTTCTAAAAAAAAATGGCAATCACCTTTTTTGTGAGGGGAGGAAGCAATGATCCAAGACCATACAATGTTATCTCCTGCCATCTCATTAAAATTCCAAAGGGCATCCTGTACTTAATTTTAAAATGTGGTTCATGTGATGCAAAAGAAATTTACGCAGGGGTGGAGGTTATTCTTCTCCATGAAATATTTATAATACAAACCTTTCAGATTTTTCTCCCTATCGTATTCGGCTGCTTGAATTTCTAAGTAATAACGGTATTGTGGATTATGCTGATTGAGATGGGTGTTTCTTTCATAATCAGGACAATTACTCAAAGCATTGGTCTCCTTTCTTATACATACTTGTCTCAGAACGGCCTAGATAGGATAGTAGTACCTATGGTGAGTACTGGCACACTGTTCTTGATTGTACTTATTGCCTCATTATGCTCAGTTGACTTTTTTTTTTACTTAATTTTTGTACGTACATTTTAACAAATAGTTAATTTTACATTGCTTTGCCAAAAAAAAAAAGGTTAATTTTACATTCAATGCATTGTTTTTAGAAAAAAAATGTTTCTTTATCTAGATAGTCTCCACTTTCTTGCAAAACTTGATCTTATTTCAGTCGTTTCTTTCACTAAACGGATTAAAGATGTAAACATTCTTTGGGCAAATAACACTTATTTCTTCGTTGAAATACCTTAAAGTACATTTTGAATAATACTTCTCTACATAAGAAAATAGTTTATATTACAATTTATAGTAATTCTCTTAAAGCCTAGTTCTTTTTATCAAAATATACAAGATTATCAAAAGGAAGTCTTATCTTAGTCTAAGTATAACTTTATATCATGTTATTGCTCTGGAATTAGTATGTGGCCTGGTGCTGCAATTTTTTTTTTTAAATTTGTCAACCCTGAGGTATTACATTAGAAATGGAATTCTACATGCCTATTATTTGTATGCATTTGAGACAGATGTCAAATAGGGTTTTGGTAAAAAGTTTCAGTTACTGTAATCCTTTTGAAACAGAAGTGATTAATGAGAGTCAATTTAGTGAGCTGGAAAAGGCCATCTAAAGCCTTACTTGTGATGATCCCTGGTCTAGAGTTCCAAGTTTAGTGCACATTTTTTCCCCAAAATTGTCTTCTATGTACTTTTAGAGTTTTAGTCAATTACAGTGGCCTTGACTACGAGTTGCTGTTCTAGGTTGATTACGAGTACAACGAGTCAACTGACACCTTCATACCTCTACCTCACTACCACGGAGAGCAATTTCAGTCGAGTAAGTCCATCATCTTGCAGTGGTCACCATATTGCAATGAGATGGACCTTATGAAGCAGGTTATTTTCTCACCTCTTTACAAGGGTGTTGTGCTTGACCTCGCTTGCTTTGTATCTTATCTTGATGAAAGTCAATCTCAAGCCATTTTGATCCACCTAATTCTTGATTTTTGGCTCTGACAACTGTGACTGCACACAATGAAGTGTTCTTATATTAGCTACCAGTATCTAATGGACTTGCAAAGGCTACTGGCCTCTGCAAGCTTATGGACAGTTATCGGTTAACTACACGATATAAGAAAATGTAACATAAGTTTAGGTTTCCACTGTGATAGTGCTTTTTGAGTACTATGTGCTTTTCGAGTACTAATAAGCTTCATTTGTACTTGGGTTTTACGGCAGTTTGATGACATTGGATCTCATGGAACTAAAGTTGTTGTTTTCAATTTATGGTTTACTGATGACGAGACTCTGGAGTTTGAATTTGACAGTGATCCTCAGGTTAATACTTACCCTCTCAACCTCTCCCCTCAATTTGCTGAGGTATAGTGGATTTCATTAGTTTTCCTCGTTACTTGTAACCATTGGTTGCAGGATATTTGCCTGCAAGGTTCTGATGATTTTAAGAATATAAAAATGAAAAATTCAACAATTGAAGAGCATACTGGCATCCGATACCATTATTCCCTCCGAGTAAGTCTTTGTTTGACATGGTCCTCGTCTCCTCAAATCATGCAAGATATCAGACTTACAATTCTTATCCTTGTCAGGTATACTTGTCCATCTTATACTTGAGGATTCCACAGAGTTTCACTATTGTACTGCGTGGGAAAGCGGTGGAGCATCACAGTGTAGCAAGTGATCTCAAATATCCAGAGTTCATCCTGTACAGACCTCACACTGGGGGCACTAAGGAGGTATCTTCATGTGTATTAACTTATCCTGGTTCTTTATTCCAATTTTGTGCACATGGTTGCACTCTGATCCACAATTTTGTTTAATATTTAGTTGTAATTGGAAGATATGGGCTGCCTGGTTTGAATTTTGTATTAAAAATGTTAAGCAATAGAGTATTTAGTGAAGAAGATAATTTTGCATGAAAAAAAAATCATCCTCATGAAGAACAAGGTTGTTTGGAAATATAATTCAATGCCTTGTGATTCCACTAACGAAACCTTCAAACTAAGCACAAACTCTATTTTCACCAAAATGTTTAAGGGATTACTGTAGACATTCCTAAAGATGGAATTGTGGAAAACATAGAGATTCCTAAATATGAAATGGATGAAAGCACGCTCATGTAAGTGCACATTAGACATAAGACCAAAAAAAAAAAAAAAAAAAACCCCACAGAAGAGCCTTGTTCTCTATATTTTGAACTTCCTCTGCCGTGAAATTTTACTCTGATTGGTTCTTAATTTACTCGAAAATGTGTCCAGTGATGCTCATTTTCTTAATTTCTGAAATTCTGGAATTTCCCATGCAGTGTGACTTCTGTTTACTTCTTTCGACTTAAGATCTATGAATAGTGGGCATAAGTACAGTTTGATCATCTAATTTTGAGAGTTAGCGTTGTAGCTGATTTAGCATGCATGAAGATTCTTTGACTTCTCTCATGGACATTCTCTAAGTTTCGCACATATCACTCTCTTGCTAATTGATATTAGTCAATAAGCTACATTTTCCCTTTGGAACAATTTGTGTTGATATCAGTGGCACATGGTTCTGTTATACATCTACATATTCTTATTCTATTGCATGCTATGTATTTCTGAATAAACTTTGCAGGCTGAAGTATTAGCAACAATAGGGTTTATCAAGGAAGCTCCTCATGTCAACATCCATGGCTTCTGTGTTTATCATAAAAACCGTCTTATACTGGTAAACACCATTAATCTCCATTTAAGGGAGCGAGTTATCTGTGGGATCACACAAGTGTAGGCACGAGTGATTGTACTTGTGCACGCACACAGAAATCAGGTTTCATAGTGCAGTCAGCCAGTAAAAAATAAACTGGGAGAATACAATTTATTTATATTTTTTTTTGAAAAATGAAAAATATAAGGCTGAAAAAACTTTGAACTTAAAGCTTTCCTTTGCAGCCATATTGGCAAGTTGTAAGCTACGATAGGAGTAGAGGAAGAGGTGTTGTAGGTGAGTTATTTGCTTCACATTGTTCTGCAGTAATATGCGAGTTTTGGAGTGTATGCATAAAGGTATATTATTAAATGTTTCAGGGGTCTTGGAAGCGAACTTTATAGAGCCTACTCATAACAAGCAAGATTTTGAGAGGACTTCCCTCTTTCTAAAGCTCGAAGCTCGATTGAAGGACATGACATGGGAATATTGGTAGGTATACATGTGTAGATTTATTTTATTTTGTTTTATTTGGTATGTATTGTAGTACCATAGCTGAAGCCTAACCCTATTTGTATCTTCCTCTCATACGTTGTTAAGTGGGTCTGGATTTTCTGGTTTGGGGGGTTTCTTGTGTTGATGATGGTACAGTTGTTAGACAATCTTGTACCCCCCCCTCTTATATCTTCTTATTTATGACTTTTGAGGTCTATTTCATCTCAAACCAACTGAAAGAAAAATTGTCTAGTTCGTAACTTTTCATGACACTGTAAAATAGAGACCAAAGTAGTACTTTTGGTAAGTACTTGTGGTATCAGATTTTATTGGTCAATGAACTAATTTTATTTAATGGACATTATGGAATGAATTGTAGGGATTTTCACTGTGGACTTATTGGCTATCAAATTAAAAAACCAATTCGAGCACCTGTATCTTCACTAGACTTATCTGATGTGTGCCTAAGTAATGCTAGACATGAACCTCTTGAAACAAATAGAAGTTTGAATTTTGGTCGAGCACCAATTCATCAGGCTGATCCTGTGGTTAATTTGCTTGCTGAATCTGTTTTTCAAAGAGATCAAAGCATCCAACAGCGTGGTAATATATAGCACTTCTTTCAGATTTTCCCATCTGCAGCCAATTCTGTGTATGCCTATTGCCGTTGTCTTTGCAGGTATTAAGAGGACGCAAGAAAATGTTTTGTTTGCTCTTGACAAGGGGAGAGTGCATGTCAGAACTGAATCTGACATTAACAACGCTGGTTGCTCTGTGGAAGTTCAGGTTGTTTGTTTTTGTTTTTTATTTTTTAATAATTTATTTTCTTGATTAAGAATTCAAACATAGGTGTAAATAGAAACACTGATGGTCTGGCACATAGCAAAGCCGAGTTTTGGCTCTGTAGCTGAGAGATTATAAATTTAAATATGGGTAGGCAAACTAGCCATATAGTTGCAATACTAAGTCATGCCTCTCTTACAGCCTGCCTCTCTGGCTGCCAACCTGATGAATGAAAAAGGGGCGGTGGTAATGATGCAGGAAAATAAGAACCTTCTCGCAAAGTAAGATTTTCAAAAATAATTATTTAACCATTTCTTGTTTGAGGTTCTTTTTGTATTGGTTTTATAATTTAGTTGTATTTTTCAGATGTTTAGAATACGAGAAGGCTGAGGAAGAGCTCAATAACAAGGTATATGAAATGCCTGATATTTTCACTGAATAATGTTGTATTTTTTTTTTTATTTTTTTATTATTATTATTTTTTTTTTCCATTTTCTGGATTCCATACAATTCATAGTCAACTTTAAACTAGACTAAAATCAATCTTTCTATCCCTAGAAAGGCAGAAAATACTGCAAGAAAGCTGGCTATTTGTGAATCTGCTTTCATTTCTAAGTTACCTATTCAATTTGATTCAATGCATTATCATAAGTACTATGTAACTATTAATTCAAGTGAAGATGGAAAAGCTTAAAATTTTATCATATGTACTGCGTAACTATTAAATTCTAGTAGAAGATGAAAAGGATTAAATTTTGATTCTGTTTTCACGAGTGTATTAGTTTTTTGAAGTTCATTTGCTAGCTCTTAGAGTGCATTAAATAATTCATGCAGGTATTACTGCTCAGTAAGGAGCTTAAACTGGCACAGCATGAATATGAGAGGATGCTAATTGTACTTCAATCGCTCGATGTTGTCAAACCTGAATTGGATGTAAGTAACCATTGCCATTTCCCCTTATGGTTTGTGTCTATTGTCATAATTAGTCTCAACCATCTTGAAGTATCTTGGAAATTTTGTTTACTCCATTATCAGTGAATTAAATTATGATTCAGAGTGTGGCTTGGCAGATAAAATGGTAAATGCCTAAAATCATTTAACTTGGATGGTGTTTGAATACCTGACAATTTGACATCATATGCTTTGCACAGCATATTAAAGTGAGCGGCAAAACTTGCATTCTACTTTGTTGGCCTATTTGCTATAGCTTAAGCCATCTATTTTCAGTTAGGCTACAATAGTATTACCCTATATCCTTTATAGAAGTTCTCCAAGGTGGGGTGGGGAGGGGTCGCAGTACACCTTACCTCTGCAAAAATTTCAAGTTGTTTCAATGATCGTTATACAATGTAGAATGACTATCCCCTTAGTCACTTTGAATAATTTGGAGAAGGTAAATGATCTTTA